AGGATATATATATATATCGTCATATATATATATATCGTCACAAACAGAACTGCCCGGTAAACCGTAGGCAGAGAGAGAGAAGAGGACAACAAACGAGGGGCTGTGACAAACTGTTTCGTCGGAGTTTCACTGACTCATCAGGATATATATATCGTCACAAACAGAACTTCCCGGTAAAACCGTAGGCACAGAGAGAGAAGAGGACAACAAACGAGGGGCTGTGACAAACTGTTTCGTTGAGTTTCACCGACTCATCAGGAGGCTGAACCCTCAACAGTCGGCAGAATCCCCTCACTGATTACACTGTAAATGATAATCTACCTTAACCAAAATCAAAGTAGACTATCACTCACCCACACCAGATGGAAAACTCTACATATATATATATTCCTGCTGGGTTTTCGTGCCGCCTGGATTTCCCGGGCGGCGGCCGCCTTCAAAAAAAAATGAAAAAATTCCCGCTGGGTTTTTATTGCAGATGGGTTTGCAAAAGATTTAGTATTTACCCTTGGGGTTTACGCGAAGGTCACAGTACCGTCATATAGTCATTACCACTGTATCCAGATCAAAGTTGCCCCGAATACTTCTTGCCCATTCAAGTGGCCTAACAATGAATCAATTGACTCGTTATGAACGACAAGGCATTGAGGAAGCCCTGCAATGCCTGCATACACCAGACAATACTCTAAGCAAACAACGATCACCCCCGTCTTAAACAAGTTGAAAACACCATCCAGCTTACAAGCTTTTTTTTTATAAATAAAATTATAAAATTAAAAAAATTGGACCATTTCTTGATTTATGCATGTCATCCTTGCTCAGGGGCCATGCTATTCTTCTCTGTATTGTTTCAATTTTAATGGATGTCCCCAAGGACACCAGCTTACAAGCTTATGCGGAACTATATGAAAAATTGCACACGGAAACTTACTTCTGTTTGCGTAGAGTGTGGGCCAGGTTAACAACTGTAGGCTCCCAGTTCTCACCCCATGGTCGAGGCACCAGCGACAGGGCTTTCCTTAACCATTTCGCCGCAGATTCATAACTGCAAAATAACATCAACCCCCACAAACATATCCCATACCAATCCCCACAAAAATAAGCACATTCTCTCTCTCTCTCTCTCTCTCTCTCTCTCTCTCTCTCTCTCTCTCTCTCTCACACACACACACACACACACACACACACACACACACACACACAC